GGGGGGTGGCTGCGGGGCTGCTTGTCAAAGAAGAGCTGGGGGTCTGCGGGCAGGAGTCAGGTGGGCCTGGGGGAGAGGGGACAAGCAAGCACTGCCTCAGCCTTAAACGTCCAAACCCGCTCTTCTGGTGACATTAAAACCCAAGGAACACTCTGCACCTCTTGCCCTGTGACTTAACCGTACTGCTCGTGAGTTTGGGGCTATTTCTTACAAGCAGCATTAAAAATCCCACCTGCCTCTTTGGTTATTTTCTTAGCCCACGACTGGTGTCCTGTACAAAGAGGATAACTACATTATAATGACCACTGTGGATAAAGAAAAATACAAGTGTATTCTTCCACTGATAGCAAGCGGCAGCGAGGTAAGTTCAGGCAACTCATCTTTGTAGTTATCAAATCTTTACAGCATCTTTTCAGTTCCTTTTTTTTTTTTCCAAAATACCTTTTTTTTTTTTTTTCCTCCTCTAAAAGGAAAATCCTCCACAGAATGCCTCCCAGTTTTGGCAGGTGCCTCTTTTGATATTACATATTAGCTCTGTGCTAAGTGGGGCCAGTCTGACCAATCTTGAAGTCCTTGTTTGGCAACAAACAATTGCTCTGATGTTTTATTTATTTGTAGATCTGTCACCGATTGGGAAATTCTTGTGTTTTAAGTAATATTGTCACATTCTAGGCCAGTAAACAGCTCCAGAGGTTGCTGACACCACTGTCGTGGTCGCTGTCTCTGAGAATACTCAGTGGTGCTTCTGCCAAGCTTTATTCTGTGTCATCTCTTCCTTGACCAGAAATCAGAGTGCACAGTGTGGGGTTTAAATGTAAAAACAAAACCATCTGTGCAAGAGGCAGTGGATGGAGGAGGCCTTTGGTGGGGTTTATCACTGGCCATGTGTTCCTCCAGCAGCTCAATTTCCCCACGCTGTGAGAGCTTGCACAGACAAGCTGTGATCCTGTGCTGGTGGGGATCTCCTTTTTCACAGTTGTTTTGCCCCTTCTTACTAAATTACATTTGTTTTTTTTTTGTAATCACCACACAGCTCCTCCTGGACAGGAATTAATGAGGCTTTGTACCTTTTAATTTTGTGAGATGGGTTTGGTTTGGTTGTTTTGTGTTTTTAAAACTTGCAAATGAATATTAACTAACCAAACTACTGTTAATTTTAACATGATGACATGTCCTCCTGTTCTAGGAAGAAGAAAAGGACTACAAAGGTCCTACTCCAGGAGAACTGCTGGAACCTCTTTTTAAGCAAAGCAGCTGTTCCTACAGAGTATGTCACTTCTGTGTTGGTAATTTAAATGCTAATCAGAAGCTTACAGCCCAGCCCATTTCAAGGCTCAGTGTAGAAAACTCTTTGGATAACTACATCTCAGACTTCAAGTACCAGTTCAGCCCCAAATAAGGTCTCTCCAGCTTGAGGAGTATGTCCTAATACTGCTGATAAAATTCTGTGTAACTCAAGATGTCAGGATTCAGATAAATTGGGTTGCCATAGCAGCAGTTTTACAGTGTGGGTTTAAAACACTCCCAGGAGTGAAGCCACAACGTGTGGCAGGCTGATGAAAAGCATTTATCAGAAAGTGTTAGGAGACCAAACCAAACGTGTCTGTGGAGATTCTGAGAGTTCCCCTGGTTTTTGTTAGCTGCTGTGCCAGTGCAGGGGCTCCTGTCTGTGCAGGATGAGAGCAAACCTGATGCCAAAGAGGCTGCTTCTGAGAAGCAGAGACAGCACAAGGGGGCAAACCTTAGAGCTGCACAACATCCCCCCCAGCCCCAGTGCTCTGGGGGCACGTTTAGTCTCCTTACATCTTATTTCTTTTCTTTTATCTGTCTGCAAGTTAAGGAACCTTTGCCTGTGGGTTTATTTGGAATATAATCAAAATGCCTGGGGAGCACTGAGACCATTCACTGTGCTGTTGTGTTTGAGGGTGCCCAAGCACACCCACTTGGGCTGCATTTCCTTGCTGCAAGAGCCAAAATTGGGGGGGAATTGGGGGTTTTTTGAGGGTGTAATGTATCTGAACTGAATTTTTTTTATTTTAAGATTGAATCTTACTGGACTTATGAGGTCTGCCACGGGAAACACATCCGTCAGTACCATGAGGAGAAGGAAACAGGACAGGTAGGCTGCTTACAATCCACAGCCTCAAACCTCCCCCTTCTCCACTGGCACATTTGTGCTCAGCTCCTCTGGGAGACTTGGATTCTTGTACCTTGGAAAAAGTCTGGAAAAAGGTAACTGAAATATGTTTTAACTTCTTCTGATTGTAGAAAATAAACATCCAAGAATACTATCTGGGGAATATGATGATGAAGACCCCATTATCAGAGCCAGGTTTGTCTTTGGTTGTTTTCCTGATGCTCATTTCTTTGGGTTTTAATTATTACTGCCTGAGAAATACCCTGTAGAAAAATGATTCTCAGTGCCAGAAAATAGAATTTTTGTAGATTACTGATTTTTTTTACAGTATGTTTTCAATTTCTTTTAGCACTTCATGTGCCATCCATCCTGACAGTCTTGCTGTGCTAATTAATTAGATTCACTAATCTGCATTAGCATCAGGGAAAGAAAATGCATAAGAAACAGAACCAATATGTGCCAGGCCAGACTTTGCTAACAAAGACCATTTCCACTCACTTTTTGGGTGGGGAGAAGTGCCTTGCAAACTGTGAGCAGAGGGCAGAGTGTGTAGCACAGGCTGGGCTCTGCTCTTCTGTCCTAAAAAGTAGTCTGCAAGCCCAAACACCTGCAGCCTTTGCAGCATCAAATGATCCTTGGAACTGTTGGAGGGTTTTCTTTTATTTAGGGATCCTGGCAGAGATCTTCAGAAGTACTCAAGTGAGACCTAGGTGGAAATTAGGTGGCTGAGCTCCAAACTAAAACTGCAGTTCAGAACAATTTTTCTGAGTGCTTGAAATTTTGCCTGTAAGTTATTGTGGGTGCTGAAAGTTCTGTGGTTGCACCTGCCAAAATCTGCTTCCCTGGGTGAGCACTTTGGCAGTCGCCCAAAGAAATCCACAGACTGAGTGTTCATGCATCAGAGTGGATAGAAACAACAGAAAAAAACACAGTCTAGGCTTTTTTTAAAACAAATTCTAGGCTAGCCTGTGTAAGGTGGGCACCACCATCTTCCCCTTCCTAGAAGTGATTAAGGTGAATGGCTCAGTCTTGGAGGGGATTTAGAACTCCTAACCCCATTCCTTTGAACTCCTGCCTGGAGCCTTCAGCTGGGTGTGTTAGTCCTGAAGAGAAGCTTCAGAAGCTGCACTGTTTGGCATCAATCTGTGAGCTGACAGGGCTGGTTGGTGCTGCCCTCAGTCCTGCACAGAGGTGCCTCCTCCTCCTCCCCAGATGTGCAGGAGACAAAAGGTGCCCTTGGAGTTACCTGCCCTGGGGGCCAAATGCTGAAGTTACATGTGGTGATACTTCAGGTCACCCTGTCTGAGCCTTTCAGGATTTTGGCACCCCCCTGTCTTTTCCTGCACAGCAATTCATGCTGTTTCTAAACCTGAGGAGTGTGCCCCCTGAGGCTGGCTGGCTGGACCCCACACCCCTCTTCATTTCCTTTCCTTCCTTTTCTGCACCTGCCAGTTCATGAAACCAGCTCTCAGCAGGGCACACACAAAGTCCTGGCAAATACACCAGCCAGAGCAATTTCTCTGTTTATAACTTACCTCCAGTTCACAGACTTTATGCTTACCTTGTTCTTAATTATTCCCTAGATCCAGAAGAGAAGGAAAGTCCAAAAGAAAGTGCAAAAGAGGCAAGTGAAAAACATCTGTTTTAACTTCTGCTGTCAATAGTGAAGGTGATTTATAGATGAGGAGGTTGTGGAATTGGTTCCCTACAAAATAAGTATCAAAAAAAGAGACTGTTCCTGAGCTGCACTCTCCTCACTTCCATCAGTCCCAGCTCAGGAAGCTTATTTAGCCTAGCTAGTCAAATTTCTTCTCCTTCTACTTATTGAAAGCTATGCTAATGTTAAAGGTAATTGAGATTAATTCTGTGCTCTTCTTTTATGAAGACAAAACACATAACCACAGAGTTGTGTGATGGTCTGGCAGCAGTTGTTTCCTCCAGCTGCACCAGAGATTCCAGTCTGCTTGGTGACACTTCTATGCAGTGGAGTCCATTGGAACTTCATAAAATGACCTTTTGGGTAGGGAGAAATGCTTAACAAAACCCCACAGCACAAAATCCCTGCAGGATTTCTGAGCTGACTTGACCCATCCCCTCATACCCTGGCCTTCCCTTTTCCATTCAAGAACACTTCCATTTGTGGAGGCCTCAAACCTCCATTCTGAGGTACTCACTTGATAGCAAAATGGGATTACCTGAAGCATGTTGGAGTTTGGGATTGGCCACAGAAGAAAACCAGCTTCTTTGTGGTGTAACTTCTCTCAATTTCATGAGGAAGTTGAATCTTCTACTGACTTTTTTTTGGACAGTATTTATGATCTGCTGTCTTGGTTCAGTCCATAAAGAATTTAGACCTGAAGCTTGTGTAAGTGGAAGGGAAAGAATATGTCACATGTTGGGTGGTGCTTAAAGTAACCCAGACCTGCTGGGAGTAGAGGTTTATCTTGAGTCCTGCTCAAACAGCAGCTATCTCCAGATAGATCTCCTGAATATTTACCCTCCATGACATGCATAGGCAGAATTTTTTTGTTTTTAAAGGAAAAAACAGTTGTTTCATTGGGAAGGACAGCAAGGGAAGGCACTGGGGCCCCTTTCTGTCAGCCTGTTTGTACACAGCCAGGACAGATCTTCATTTCCTACCTGTGAATATTGGAGTAAGTGACTGGAAACCAAGGAGCACCCAAGCAGTGAAGCTGCCAGCACGTCCATTTTTTAGCCTCAGGAAGGTCTCATTGCTCTATTAATGATGGAACAGTCTTCAGGAGAGTCAGTGGCCTGTGACAGGGTGTTCATGGTTTGAAAACCAGAGGAGGTGGGATAGAGAAGGGTCTGGGGTCAGTGTTGTGAGCACAGCCCAGTTTGTGGTGCCCCCAAGGCTGTGTCAGCTGCAGCAGCACGGGTAGAAGGTGGCCTGGGCTGTGAGTTCCAGCATGGCTTTGGCACAAACTGAACCTTTGGTACCCAAGAACTTCATCTGCTTCCAAGACAGGAGCCAGGGGAGGGACTTCCACTAGCTTGGGGAATTAATTTCTGAAAGCAGATGCTGGAGGAAAGCTGAGAAGGAACAAGTCTGAAGAGAGCTGAGTGAAGTGCACCCAAATGTGAGATTTTCTCTCTGTTAGCTGCAGTAACAGGGGCTGGGATGCCCCGGGCTGGGTGTGCTGGGAGGTGCAGCACAGGTATTGGGCTGACTGCAGGGGTGTCCTTAGGTTTTCCACAGTGAAGGTGACAAGTCTGGCCAGCCCCTGAGCAGAGTCTGGGTGAGCTGCACCCATCTGGAGCACAGGCAGAGCTGTGCAGTCCTGTGCTGGAGGCAGCTGACCACAACACGTCTGTAGAAACACCAAGTAACCACCCAGGGGCTGGTTTGACTCCAGGAATGTTGGCTCTGAGCAGTGTGATGCTATTCCTCATTCCAGAAGCACCAGAGGAGCTTCACTGTGATGCTTTAACTTCTGCTTTCTTTCACCTAGATCCCTACAAAAAATATAGAAGGGCAGATGACCCCCTACTACCCCGTGGAGCTGGGGAACGGCACGCCCTGCAGCCTGAGGCAGAACCTGCCCAGGTCCAGCACAGTGATGTACATCTGCCACCCAGAAGCCAAGCACGAGATCCTGTCGGTAGCAGAAGTCACCACCTGTGAATATGAGGTGGTTATATTGACACCTCTCTTGTGCAGCCACCCTAAATACAGGTGAGGTGCTCACCTTTTGGCCAGCACTTCAAATGGTCGCCAGTTCTTGTGTTCACCAGTCGTGTGTCCAGCTGGGACACTGGTATTTATTTTTCAGGTTAAGTTTTCAGGCTAAGTTGCACAACGTTTGCATTGTGTAAGGCTCTAGGGATGGGTTTTGGAGGGGAAGGAATGATTTATTTTCAGCAGGGGAGTTTCTGGCCCTGTCCTCCTGGAGAAACACACGAGGGGCCTTCAGGCTGCAGGTGGCTTAAGAACACCCTGCCTGCTTTTAGTGATTTCAGGGTCTCAGGGGATCATCTTTGTGCTATGCAAAGACTGCAGATGGATTTTCTGTGTTTTGTGTGTGTGTAGACCTCAGCTTCTCTGATCTCAGAAAACAAAAACACAGTCTTCACCCCTGACCTTCATGTTTCCTGTAGTAGCACTCCCAACCTCAGGAGCTCCCATCTGTCTCTCTTGCTTTATTGCCTCACATTCATCTCAAATTATTTATATAATTTATAAAATATAATTTGTATCAAATTATTTATTATAAAGCTCAAATTTATTGCCTCAAATTCAGGAGTCATTTTCATATGAAGAATTTACAACTTCAGTGCTACTCTCCCAGAATCAAGTTTAGGATTCTCTCTCCCCCCCCTTGAACTGTACTGTGCCTCTAAGGGATAACCAGAGTCTCAACAGCACAGTTTTGACCTTTCAAGGGTTGTGAACAGAATGGCAAAGTGAGGGTGATGTACAAACAAAGGGGGAAACAACAGACCTGAGTCCTGGATTTCCCACATCCACAGATGTCAGAAGAAGTGAGCATTTCATCACTGTGCTGAAACAGGCAGCAAGGACAAAAGGATGAAATCCTCACTCCTGTGTTCTGTAAGCACTCGGCAGCTGGAGTTACACTCCTGTTAAATATTGAGTCTCAGCTCTAAGCTGTCTCCTGTGGGTGGGCTGGGTGATGCTGTGTTACCTGTCACACTGCTGGCTGTTCCTGTAGGAGTCTTTCAAGCCTCTGCAACTAGAAAGTGCAGAGGGGATTTGTTCTGTGGTTTGAGGAGAAGAGACTTGTGAGCTGCTGCCTCCTCAAGGCAGGACGTGGAGGGCTTCCTGCCTTGCCAGCAGGAAACACTGAAAATAAACACACCAGATCTTCATCCTCCCACTGACATCATCTTGGTAAATACAGCTGGGTGGAGGCAGCAGCCTGGAAAGGGCTGGAGTCAGCCCAGGCTGCAACAACCAGGCTCCTTTTAATGCACTTCTGGAGCAGCACTGAGCAGAGTCCAGCCACCAGCAGCTCCCCTCTGCCCCAGCTGCCTCACCCAGTCACCCCCTTGCAGGGACTCACCTGAAGTAGAAGTGGCTTTTTTAAAAGCTGGTGGGAGTTGAGGAGAGGGAGGGAGGCAGTGAAGAGCAAGACTTGTTGACTGGAACATTGGTCTTGGTGTTTTTTAAATTAAACTTGGGTAAAATTGAGCTTCTTTGAGACAGGGCTCATGTAATCTGGAGTGCAGTTAAAAGTTTTCAGATTCTTGTAACTACAGTGATGATTATGCAGCTACTGCTGGCTGAGGCTTTCCTGGAAAGGCTTATTTGGTGTTTTAATGAGGCCTTCACTGAGCTCTGGTCACTCCACTTCACCTTTTTTGTGTAATAACTGATGTGCTGGTGCCTTGTTTGGGCAGGTTCAGGGCTTCCCCTGTGAACGACATCTTCTGCCAGTCTCTGCCAGGATCCCCACTTAAACCCCATAACCTGGAACAGCTGGAGAAACAGCAGGAGATGATGAAGGTGCCTTTCAGGAGGGTTAAGGAGGTAGGATTTGCTTCATTTTAAATAGGAAAGTGTTTCTTTTCTATGTTGTAATACAGACAACTTCCAGCTCCACGGAGCAAGTTCTCTGACAGTTGGGTCAGACCATGTTGAGTCTTTCAAATACTCTTTAAGCTTGTTGAAATCATCTGTAATTTACCATATTTTGAAGGAAAATAAAGCAAGTCAGTTTGGGCTACTGATTTGAAACTGTTGTAGCCTTCAGTTTACAGACATGTTAATTGATTGACTTTTTTTTTAAGCTGTGGCTGCAGGCAGTGGAAACGAGGACAAAATGCTCTCACACTTTCTCCCTTCATCTGACTTCCCTCAGTTCAATATAAAGTAACTCCCTCAAATTGATGAGACTTTGCAAGGGACCTAGGAAATCTAAACGGGTCTCTCTGTGTGTAACTCTGATTTCAGGAAGAAATCCATCCCTCATCCAAGGAGGAGAAGTTCTCTGCCATTCACAAGCCCGTTGCTGTCGGAAGCCACCAACTCTTGACTGTGGGAACGACCCACATCTCCAAACTGACAGATGAGCAGCTCATAAAGGAGTTCCTTAGTGGCTCCTACTGCTTCCACGGGGTGAGAAGTAAAGCTGTGCCCCATCAAACACCTGCTCCCCACCTGCACATACTGCTGGGGCTTTCTTCAGGTTTTCTGATAGTTGCCTTCTTCCAGTAGTAAAGTAGAGCATGAGAATTGTTCAGTGCCAGTTTTCATAAGGAGAAAAGAAAACTATTGATAAAACTTATTGAGGCTTCTGAAATTCCCCCTGACTTTGAAAGGGGGGAAGTATTTCTTTAAAAATATATATATATGAGTAGTTTAAGGAGTTTAGTCTTGTGTGGCTCTTCAAAGTCTTTGCTTAAAGTCATTTACTCCTTGCTGATGTCAGTTAGCCAAGTAGGAGATTCTCTTGGAGTACACCATTAAGGAGTTTAGTCTTGTGTGGCTCTTTGAAGTCTTTGCTTAAAGTCGTTTATTCTGTTCCTTGCTGATGTCAGTTAGCCAAATAGGAGGTTCTCTTGGAGTACACCTTGAATTTTGGAGGCTGGGAACTGAACTAGTCAGTGATTTAGGGCCTGGAGGGAAAGGGGTGTGGCTGTTTTGGGGGGGTTTGGTTTGAATGCTGAGGCTTTACCTCCTCCTAGGGCGTGGGTTGGTGGAAGTACGAATTCTGCTACGGCAAATACGTCCATCAGTATCACGAGGTAAGCTGGAAGAGTTTTGTGTTCTGCCACTAGGTGGGGAGGGAGGGAGGGGAAAAAATCATAGAATCCTAGGCGTCCTTTTCTTGGCTGCCAACAAACATTTTGGTTTTAAAAAACCAAACATTTTGGGTTTAAGAAGTTGGATTTCACCAAAGAAATCCTCCCCATCCTGCCTCAGCTTATGCAGGGGGATGTAGGGACATCAGGTAGAGCATAGTGGTAATAAAAGCTGAAAAAATAGTTTGGTTTTTTTTTTCTGTGGGAGTGCTCTTCTGGTCAGGGGAGCACTTGTCTGAAGGGCCCAGCAGCTTCACTCTTGACCCCCAGTACCTCCGTCCTAGTTTGTCCCAAAGAGCGTAACGTGTTCCAGGGCCTTGCTCGAGCAGCAGCGTCCCGCCAGGGGCAGGGGGCCAGGAGCAGTGACCAGGAGCAGTGACCAGCTTCTCCCTGGCAGGACAAGGAGAGCGGCAGGACGTCGGTGGTGGTGGGCACGTGGAGCAGGGAGGAGCACCTGGAGTGGGCGCGCAGGAACGCCGCCCGCACCTACCACCTGCGGGAGGACGGCACCCGCACCGTCAGGTACAGGGGGGGAGCTCCAGGGGCAGCCCCTGCAGGGCCAGGGGCAGCAGAGACTGCCAGGAGCAGGGTGCACACGTGGGGCATCCCCCCCACAACGGGCTGGGACCCTCCCAAAGGGTAACTCCACACTTTGGGTAGGGTGCGGGGGGAATATTCCGTTAGTGAGCGATGATTTGCTTGCACAGGGACTGAAGTGCAGCACCCTGAGTAGTTTGGGGTGTGAAAGGGGGGAGACTGGTGAGGAGCTGTAGGCCAGGGGTGAGCTGGGTGCCTAAGGACTGTTGAGCATTGCCCATCTTCTGTGGCAGGATGGTGTCTCACTTCTACGGCAACGGAGACGTTTGCGACCTCACGGACAAGCCCAGGCAGGTCACGGTGAAGTTGAAGTAAGTTCACTTTCCTTGTAAACTGCTTCCTGTGGCAGAGGGGGAAGCCTCTCTTGTCTTCAGAGAGCTCAGGGAAAATGCCACAGATAACAGGGTTTAGTTCTGTGCTTTCTACAGGCTAAACTCAGCAACATTTCTCTTCCCTTTCCAGATGTAAAGAATCCGATTCCCCTCACGCTGTGACCATTTACATGTTAGAGCCTCACTCTTGCCAGTACATCCTTGGGGTATGTAAAGACACTTAAATCCCCTCAGATCAGCTGCCATCTCCTAGAGAACATCTCTAGGAGTACATTTCAAACAGCCCCTTCTTTATAGGGGCTGTTTCATAGAAGTTTCATTTGCTTTGGTGAAAGGAGGGTTGTCATTAATTAAAACTATATTATAATTAGAATAATAATCATTAAGTTACCTTGTTCATGTGCTATGGAGGCCACACCCAGACGTAAAAAAGCACTTGCTAAATATCAGAGCCCAGTGCTGGAGTAAGGTGCCTCTTGGCTTTGATCTCACCATTTCTGTTGCAACCTCTTGTGAGCATTTTTAGCCACGGTTTCATGGGCTTTGATGCTTCTCTCCCTTCTGTTCCAGGTGGAGTCTCCAGTCATCTGTAAGATCCTGGACACGGCAGATGAACACGGGCTCCTTTCAGTGCCCAGCTGAGGCCCCTGGACAAGCCACACCCACCACCGACCCCCCTGGGAGGTGCCAAAGCAGAGATGCTTTCAGCCCACCAGCCTCACCAGCAGAATCCTATGAGATGAGGGACTCGTGAACCACTCTGTCTATAACTATGTGTATATAAGAGGTTATTGAGAAACTTTTAATGATTAAAATCTTGTCTTGCACTTGCTGGCTGAGCTGTGTGTGACACCTTCTGCAGTCACCGTCATCGTTAAGGTATAAATTATCAACCTGAACAAGGCAACACAGACAAGGTCTGGCTTCCAGTGAGGAGCTTGGCTGCTCACAGAGTGAAGAGGTGACACCAATGCTTCTGGGGCAGGAGCTGCAGCAGCTACTCACCATCTGATCCCTCTACCTGACTTTATCCAAGCACAAACACTACCTCAGTTTGGAACTGTATTAATATCACAATCCTTCCTCCTTCTTGAGCTGTTCCTTCTTCCCCCAGCCTAAGAGCCTTCCAAGACTTGATCTCATTAATGCTGCAGGGCTCTTGCTGAGCCCAGGGCTGGTGAGCTGCCAGGGGAGGGAGCTCCCCGAGGGTTCCCTGGGTCAGCTCACTGCAGGGTGCTCGGGAGCAGGGGGTAGGTGCTGGAGGGGTGAGAGCTGGGCAGCGTTTGGGGCTGTACCAATGTGTGTTCTGTGTTGGAGGGAGGTGAGCCCCCTCGCTGTGCTTCCTCTCTCCCAAAGCTGTTGTGCAAGGCAGGGGGGTTTTGTAACCCTGTCGGAGGGAAGTCCCCCAGCCGGCTGGCACATGACGAGGGGACTGCCCAGAATAGCCAGTTCCACTGCTGGCCTGTCGCAACAGAGCCCCTTCTGCCTCACACAGCAGGATGAGCCAACATTTCAACTCAAAGTCCTCGTTTCTGATCGTGGCTGAACTTCTGATGGCTTCACACTGGGACAGAGGAAACGGAAAAAGGGGGAAGAATCTTCCACGCAGATTCTCCCCCATTCAGTTTTACTGTGAAGCATTAAATAAGCAGAGTTCACCAAGTTGTCATCCTGTATTTAGCCAGTAGCTTTTAGAAAGGAACAGACATTAAAAGCT